GTTCAGAGGAGGTTTGCCACTGCCTTCCTCTGAGGCTGAGAGAGTGTGGCTGAGCTGGGAATTGAACCCTGGCCTAGAGAGTTGTACTCTAGCAGTCAAACCATTACGCCACACATCATGCAATCTGACACCACTTTAGGTGCTGTAGCTCCCATCCTGTGGAATCCTGGGATTTGTACTTCTGCAAGGACTTCTCTGCCTAAGGGTGCTGGCATCTCACTGAACTATAAATCCCAGGATTCCATAAGATGCAGCCACGGCAGTTTAAGTGGCAATAGGCTGTATTAATTCTGCAGATGCAGCCTTAGACCTATTTCACAGATGAGGGGGAAAAATTACTGTAGGTGGAAATGCTGGTGCCTCTCCAAACTAGGATTCCATAGGATGGAGCTATGGCAAGTTAAAGTGGTGTCAAACTGCATTACTTCTACAATGTAAATGCACCCCAAGTCAGCAGAAGACTCTTGGCATCGGGTGGGAAAGCTGAAGGAGCAAAGCAAAGTGCAAAGCACCCTTACCAGGGGTCTCTCGGCCTCCTGCTGCCTCAGCAAGAAGCCCTCGGCCAGGGCCACCGCCTGGGCACAGGTCTCCGGGCCCCGTTCTCGGACGCGGCCCTGGATCTCCGGCGGCAGGATGGCCAGGAACTGCTCCAGGATCAGCGCCTCCAGGATCTGCTCCTTGGTGTGCCGCTCTGGCTTCAGCCACTGATGGCAGAGTTCCCGGAGCCGGCCGCAGACCTCTCGGGGGCCCTCGGCCTCCTGGTAGCAGAAATGCCGGAAGCGCTGGCGCTGCGTTTCCGCGCTGGCGACCTCTTCCTCCAGGACCTCTTCCTTCACCTTCCACGCCAAGGTCTGTTGGGCCATCCCGCCCGAGACGTGGAGTCCCTTTGGGCTATTGAAAGCCACGAGTTCCGGTAGCGGGGAGTTCCCCCAGCCGGCATGAGGGGACTGGACCACCTTCAGGAACTCCTGCCACTGGGCTTCCCAACGCTGGGCCAAGCCTTCGTCCGGTTCTTGTTTAATCTGCTGAGGCGTCATCAGCCGAAGGAACTCCTTGGCACCCTCGGCCGGGACACCCCGAGGGCCCTTCCTCGCCCCCTCGGCCG